GTGATTGGGGGTCTTGATTCTCAGCATGGGAAGGGATCTTTGTAGTACATTTGTTGAACAAGCTGTATTGTTCAAATCACCAGGCTTTTGTGTATACAGGAAAAACAGTCCAGACGTAACACAATCTGCACTAAATGTGAACCAGCTCAGACCTGTCGAAAATATTTAGCTCTAAAAACAGACATCTGCAAAAAAAAAAAAAAAAACTGCGCTAACAATCAAACATCAGATGCGACATGTCAACTTAACAGACAAATCTACCTTGATGCTGTTTCGCAAAAGCCAATCAGCATTTAGAGTCCCTGATTACCTGAAATGAATCAGAAATGATTGATCCCGACTCCAGTCGACAAACAAGCATCTTAAAAGTTGATTGCTTCTCCTCTCGAGGACAGAATTAACTTAACTCTGAACAAACCTACATCAAGATGTGGTTATTTCTTGAAAATGTAAGATCCCTTAATTGCAAAATAAATCACAAGGAAATTGGTTTCTTTTTTTGGGCACATACAGTTGAAGTAAGCTAGAAAAGAAGCCTCTGTGTAAATATTCTCGACTGTTGAGAGACTCACAGGAAACAGACATTAAGACATTACGGCGTCAGGGCTTCATGGGAAAGGAAGTCATGGTTAACATTAACTACTGGCAACACCAGAATAACTGAGAAGTTGGCATTCGTTCACAGTGGAATATTTCACCATCAAATGCTGACAGACGATGATTTCCAAAGGATTCAGAGATTGCCTGGTGTACCTCATTGACTACATAATATTAATATTAAGAATTCTATCATTAGGTTCAGTAAAGTAATTCATCTTTAGAGGAATTAATTTAGTTGTAACATGTAATTTGGGTTTGGATACATTTAAGTCTGAGGCTTTTGGGTCACTTTTATTCTATCCAAGCCAACAGCAGTTTTTTTCATATTTGAAGACAAACAGAATTAACTTTATTCAAATAAACCTAATGAATAAGGGTAATCCATAACAACAGATTTTCCCACATTTGAACAGAGAGGGCATGATTTAGGAATGACTCATTCAGAAATCTGGGCAGTAGAATGAGATTTTCAGTTTTTAGGGTTTGACTTTGGTTGAGTTTCATGAGTAAACACTCCAGAGTCAGAGTGTGTGAGTACTTACAGCGGGTGTTAAGCAGTCTGTTGGGCTTTCTCGCACTCGGATGGCATATTCGAAGAGCTTGTGTTCAATGTAGCACCAAAGAGGCTTTTCTTTGACAGAAGGAAGCGATGGGCGTGTCTGGCTCCAGCTTCATGGTTTATGGCCATGACCACTGTTACATAAAAACAGAAAAGTAAACGACAGTCAGCAATGGGCAAGTAATATCTGTTCTGCCTTTGAGTCTTACGAAAACCATTTGTCAACACAACATTAATTTTATGACCTTAACAATCCCTGCATGAATAGCTTAAATGAGCTTCAAAATATCTGTGCAAGTCAAGGACATGGTAGACAATCTATTAAGATTCAAATACATTTAGAGAGATCTAAGTGTCTTAGAATTAGATGAAAACCAGTCACATGTCAAAGAGTCTGTTAAATATGAGAATAGAGCCATTAGCTTTACCTTAAGATTAGACAGAAGGGAAAACAGCCAGTGCGGCTATATCCATATCTAATGAAATCCGCCTACGAACATCCCTAATACTCTCTCTTCAAAACATTATATCCCTGACATTCATCCATACAAAAACCCAAGTGTGTAAGACGTATTAGTCATCCGCCTTGTGTTTCTTTTAATGATGTTTTAATGATTTTGTTGTTTTCCAAATCAAGAAATGAATCATCAGTTTTATAGTGCACGGTGTAACTGTTATTTCCACCCACACTTCCCTCATCGGCCATGTTAGATAATGAGAAGAACAAGGGAGAGCATGTTGCTCGGCTAGCTGCTAACTAGCTAACAGTCAAGTGCGGATATGATTCTAGTCGCCCTTAATGTCTTCTGAACGGATGACTAAACTAATTCTCAGTCTTTACAGTGTATGTGTAACTGTTAATTCCATCCACACTTCCTCACCAGCATTGTTAGATAATGATAAGTGTAAGAAGCTATTGTTCTGCTAGCTAATCAATAGCTAACATTCAACTGGATGTAGTGCAAACTGAGTTAGTCACTAATTTGTGTTCTTTTGGAGATTATGAGTTGTTAATCCACTTTCAAAGGGCAGCAACATGGAGCTGGCCCGGGAGTTAGGTTTCAGTCCCCCACTTTGTAAATTATACAGTCCTCATTCCCCATGGACCTGTAACCACCAATATACATAATGTAGACATCCTGCATGACAATCAAGGAAAATGATGGTGGTTCAGACCGCCTTCGATGTAAATGATTGTAGCCTGATTTCACTATATGCGCTTGCCCTGTATGGAAGTCGCAGCCCTCTGAGACCATTATCCCAGAGTGCTGCAGCGCTTGCACTTATACTCCCAGATGAAGCCCCCTAACAGGCACACTTCATGTTTAAATGCAAATTTCCAACCAGAGCACCGTGCAAGAGCCACGGCAGTTTAGAAATCCCTTTACCCAAGTCTTGCACGCTTGTTGAAAAAAAAAAAAAAAAGCTCTTAACAAGCCCCTGTTAATGTCTTTAGCATAAGGAGTGCAAGAACGAAACAATGTCACACCTGCTTTTTTTGAACTGCGAGCAGGCAGTGGGATAACATGCGCCAGAGAAGTTGAGGGAAAAGACGGTGAGCTGCTGATAAAGGGATAAACCCTGAGGCAACAGTGTTTGGTACACTAAGGCAGTCTGTGTTTGTGAGCAGATGAAGTGTCATGATAACAACTTAGCCCGGGCGCATTTAGCTGTTATTGTCTGCAGAATACCATTCAGTGTTATGACTAATCACAGAAACAGCCTCCTCGAAAAAACATGAAGGTTATTTAGGCTGAATGCAAACAGCAGCGGGGGGGTTTTGGTGAGAGAAGGATTGAGGGGGGGGAAAACTGCAGGGTGAAACATGTTGAGGCCACGTGACGCATCACTGTTGTCTCACATTATTAGACAACACATTGTCCAGATGATTTCCCCATGGTGTGAATCCGCCCAATGATCTTTGTTTCTGGTGCTCTAATTCATTTATTATGCTAATAAGAAAAACTGTCAGTCCGTTCAGACATTGCATAAACATAAGTGTACTTCAATGTCCATTAATCATGTTGCAAGGCTCCAAGCAATTCTGCCACGTTATAAGTTGATGAAAATTAGTCGTACAATTATCAGATGGTGATAAGCGTTTTAAATGTTTAATAGGCAGCCTTGGACGTGGATTGCAATCTCCCAAGTGGACAGGCGGTTAATTCCCCCACGAGCTGGTCTGAGTACATGTGTAGTAAGGCTTAACGTATATGGATGAGATTTACTACCCGCTGATTGGCCTGTAGGTCGGCCTGACCTGAGTTCCTCCCCCTTTCCAAGCAGTGGACCTTTCGTATGTGTGTGACAGTGCAAACGTACAACAGTGTGTTTCTCCCAGGTGGGCTGTTTTTATCCTCACTCTATCACCGTAATCTCCCAAGAATTACCTCCGGCTCTGGGGAGAAGGGGGGCTCTCATTAAATAAAGTGAGCGACCTGTGCAGGAGACTGTCATCACAGCTCTGACACCAACTGGGCCTGAATGTGTGTAAGCCTAAAGATATAAGAATGAACTTTGTCCCTTGCTGGCTAAGGGATGATTGTTAGTGTGAAAGCTCTAAGCTGGAATTCGCCTCGACTACTGTTTCTGTTCTATTCTAACAATGTTTCATCCTTGCGGAAATATCACGACATTTATCAGCTTTTAAGACGTTTTAAATCTGAGCCTTGGCTCTCCAAAATTAACTCATTTATCCCAATTATTGTGCGGACAATCCGATTTTGTTCCCTACCCTTCTGTTTTCACAGCGGTAATCGGGTACCCTAAAGATACACATTAAATTAGATTGCTTCGAATTGGCAGGGCTGCCAACTAAATCGCATTTACATGTGATTACCGCTCTAAAAACACAATTTGTAGATGTGTAAGCAGACACCAGGATGGCCTGATACTAAAACTTTTTCTCATTGATTCATGGAGTGTTCAGCCAAGTTAGTGAAATCTCTTTCTGATTGCTCGGTGTTGATTTGTGGGTTTTAAATTATTCGGAGATCTTTATATTGATTGTTCATCAGTATCAGTGAGTTAAAATGACTTAAAATATGGACATACCATCTGCGAGGAATCCAATACGCCTCTGAGAGGACATTTTAAAGCTGCTCATATGCTCCTACTGGAGACAATTCATCTTATAGACGCCAATAGTTGATCAGTGGAATAGTGTCAAACAAACAATCTGTCTAACTGTCCCATGCCAGCCCCATTTATCTCCAAGTCCAGTCAGTGCTTCTCTTCACAGATCCACCATATGTCCGTCGTCGTCGTCATCGTCTTCTTCTTCTTTTCTTTTGTATTTCTGGCAGACTAGATGCCTCTCTCAGATCACCAAATGCACTCACACTTTCCCTCCTTTTCCCCCATCACCTGACTGCCCCACCCAACTCCTCACTTGGGGTGCGTTCAAAGCACAACAAGAAATGTTTGTTCACCATGTGTTTTTGTGTTATACCAATGATACAGAAGGGTTTAAGCTCCTTGCAATGCTGATCAAGTTAACACAATGTCCAAAAAGAGAAAAAAAAAACACATTAAAACCTGTTGCAAACAGTCTCTGGGAAACATGTGGTTCAATGGAGCATATCTTCCCGAAATAGTTGTAGACAGTGTGAAAAAGGCCTTCAGATGTTTTTTCTTCTCTGAAGGTGTTACACAGGCTTTAATTTTGGTAACACAACATTCACAAAAGGATGTTCAGTGCAGCACTGTGTTTGTTGAAATTAACATTTAGCAACATCTCAACAGAGCTGAACGCAGCCCTGGACTGCACCCGCCCACTTCCTCACCTGCACCCCATTTTTCTGTCAGCCACTCACTATGAGCCAAAGCTCCTTTGTTCCCTTTCCTTGGATTCTCATGCAGACATTATTCTTTTGTTTTCAACCTTTTGACCTGGACATGTCCTGTGTGTTCCAAAAGTAAAGCAGTGAAAAAGAACAACTGCTTAAAGAGTTTTCAGATTTGGGAATACATCAATTTTCGCTGAAATCAATGCTATCTTTTGGAAGTGAAAGGGCTATTTTGACTTTCTTAAGGACCACTGGACTTTATTCGAGAATTGAAGTCAAAGTGAATCAATTCATTGGAATTCCGGCTGAGGACATCATTTTGCCTTGTAGCATAGCCTGCTGGAAATTCAGAAGAAGAAGAAGAAGACATGTATCTACCTATCTTCCTGTTACCTGTGGACCTGCCTGCCTGCACCTGCACCCACCTGTAAGTCTTTGCTTCTTTAAACTCTCAGATCACCATGCCTGTCTTTTATCTGTCTCCATTTGCGTTGAAGCCTGTTTTTCCTGAATCTTGGAAAAACAAACAAAATGGGTAAAAACCCAACATGGCTTCATACCACTGCTAGTTGTCATTTTTCGCAGCAGATCATTTAAGTAGCAGCCACATGTTAAACCTTACATTTCACACAGTAAGACAGCAGACTTGCAGGGTGAAGCTTTGGCCTTCTAGAGTTCTTTTAATCATCTTGCTTTTAAATAAGAATGTGACTCACTTTGAGTCAACACTGCATAGCAATACAGTAATCTCCATTAAGGAGCCAACGGTACACAGAGTACAATGAGGCATTCATGTGTTGGAAAATGGGGAATTTTGTTTGCCAAAGTAAATTCTAGGCCTATATCCAGGGAGATTAAACTATTCATAGCACCTTTTTCACTCATCCTAACTTCACCTCAGAAAACCCCTCTGTTAAACCGCTGTTTTACGTCTCATGACTTCTGCTTCTCCGCGAGATCCCCCAAAGAGCGCTGTGTTAACCGTCTCATAACAAAAACATGTGCGCACTGCTACGAACTGTTGGAAGTGCTTTGGAGAGAGCTCATTGAAAGCATCAGCAATAAAACGAGCCTTCCAGTGTTTCCATTTTTAAATACTCCAAGGGGAACGTCTGTAATGCAATTTCCTAGTACTTGGTGTCCCCTGACTGCAACCGCTAGAGCCCTCCTTCAAAGTGTGGAATGCTGCTTTATTGCACCATCAGCATTATGACGGGGAAGAAGGAGTGGGGGCGTTGCTTCTGCAAGTCTAAACCTGGTCATAGATCTCAGTGGACATGTACACTAGCTCTTCATTATCTGCTCTCAGCTAGCATCCCAGCAGGGAGGCATGTGCCTGGATAAAAAGCCTCAATTATGTAACCGTCTGAAAGGGTTGGCTGTCAGCCTCTTCTCCAGGCCAATGCATCAATCTTCGACTGACTCTGCATCTCTGCAGAATATTGCGGACCATTGCTCTCAATATACATGATGGATTTGAAAGCATGGTCAGCTGGTAAATGTTTTCCATTTAACTGCCTGCTCTGATCGATCAAGAAACTCGAATAACAAGTCGCTAAACATGCATGGACAAGTGCCAACATTTATTAAATCTCAATCTTGACTAATATAACCATCTATCTCGTTTACAGAGGATTGATGTTTTCTGCAACTGCATATCTAGCCAAATGTTTAAGCTTGAGGTACTTGGAAACAGCTGAACTGCAAATATACTTCCAGGTTCTGCCGAGATAAGCGCAAAAGCCAAAACCAAACAAAGGCAGTGATTAGTGGATCTGTTCAACCTTAGGGGAGAAGGATCCTGTTTTTCAGACCAGAGAGTTTACTTAGGGTTTTGCATTGTTGGTTTTCCAATCTTCTTCCTCTGAAGTACGTCCCAATACTGTCATTCAGAGCTAATGGCCCTAATAAGAGAAACCACCAAAAGCTGCAAATGGGGGTTTTCCATTGGGAAAGCTAATTTCATATTCAGTCACTGCAATACTGCACTGAAAGTAGCAATCTTTAACTTCAGCGTCTCTATCTTTGGCAAAAACAAATGTTTTGACTGTTTGGCTACATCTATAAGTCAAATTTGTTTTTTGAGAATTGGCTCTTCTTTATTAGTTTGTCTGTTCTGTTTTGGAGTAAACTGTATTCTCTCTCTTATGGGCCAACCAGTGGGGGGTGAAATATTAAGCATGTGGCGATTCTAGAGCCCCGTTGGGGCCCTAGGCAAAAACCAATTGGGGGGGCCCTCCAACCAATGTTCAGTAGGGCAACAATCCTGAGAGTGAGCGCTGTCAGATGGGGCCCCCTTAGGGAGGTTTTCCAAGGTTTGCAGAATTTGCACATTTTAGGCCACTGCTTTGGGGCCCCCTACTGGTGTTGGGGCCCAAAGCAGTTGCCTGCCTTTGCCTGTTGATAAGCAGTGCCTCTGATTCCCGGTATGATACTGGACACCCAGTTCATAAAACCAAAGAACATTGCAAACGCAAGGGTTTTCATCATTGGGCTATGGGCCGACTCTTGAGAGTAGCATTTATTTGAAAATATATTCATAACTAAACATCTTTTGGTTCTAGACTTTGACTACAATGTTTACAGTACTCTATTGTACACTCCTTTGTGTTTCTATTCCATTAGAGCCAGATTTAATTATTGGTTTTCTTTGAATGAGAGCCCAATATCTTAATACGATAATGTTCAGATTATATCTCGACAATTGAGGCTTTGATAAACTTGGAGCTGTTGATGTTTTTCCCTATATGCTGCAACCAGACGCTTACCCTTTCAACAGTTCTAAGAAGTCTCTCTGATGTCTCCTCCAAAACATCACAATGGGTTTGATTTTTTTAATATATTTTTTGAATTGTTTCTCGTTTGTTAAGCTGAAAAAATTGTGTTCATTGTGAAAATGAATAGAAACATACTAGAAAGCATGATTTTTGTGTGCCTTTATTGGCCGTGAATAAAGTGAGATCAAAGTCAACAGATGGAGAAGGTCTTTGCTTGAGATGAATGTTTTATGTACACCTTCTCTGGCAAATAAATTTAGTATAGAGGGAAAAAAACATCAAGGCACAGGGTCCAAGTTTTAAAATGGAGCAGAAAAAAGCTCAAACTTTAGATGTCTATCCACCAAGCATACATGATAAGAAGTCCAATTTACTCTTTCCCTCTTTACTAAAAAAGTACCACCTGCATATTTATAGAAATTCATTCTATCAGCTTTTCATATCCGTGCTATTGAAAAATGTGCTTTTACACTGTTCATCGTCTCTTCAGTGGAAATCGCTTTCCTTGGCCAAGCTTTTTTTTTCTTCCTTTTTTTTCGCAGGGATGAATAGAGATTTGGGTTAAAAGTTCAGGGTGAAGCCTCAGCATGTGGATAAGATATGAATAAACACTTGGTGGGGATAATACAAAGGTTGGCTTTGCACATTATAGTCAATCAGAGCTGCAAAGAATTCCTCTCAAGAAGATTAAATTGAATTCCACTGTGCTGTGATTCATCTGTAATGTTGAATGCAACTTAATGGACCTCTTTTCAGACAATACAACTAGATTTTTTAAAATGATACATGTCTGGGTCTGTATTTAAAAGCTCCAGTCAAGAAGGTGGTAATGTCTGAATCACAGCAGCTCTGTTAGGGATTTCAGTGAAGGAGCATTTTACTCTTCCCTTGGACTAATTTAATTTACAGAGGACCTTTTTTATTTGGGACTTACATTAAGTGAAACAGCAGGGAATGTTTCCAAAAAGACTCATTCCCGAAATGGGTTTTAGGCCGACTTCAGTCAAAGTTGTTTGCTCCTTCCTTCCGGATATTCTGTTAGTTTCATTTCCTTTTGTAAATTTGACCTCCTTCTTGCAAATGCTGACATTAATTTGTGGCAAGTTCCAAAGGCTTTTGGACAGCTGAAAAGTACATTAATACTACTCTTGATCACATAATCCTATCGGAGGATTAGGAGAATTATTTCTGACGAAGTATGACTTGACGTGACTTTACCAGCTTTTCATATCAAACCTCGAAATCCCTCATGAGATTTTCAGTGTTAGTTTTGAAGTCATGACTCTTCGTCTCCTCAAAACTTTATTTGTTATAATATATCTGTTACATATTTGAATCATTTTCCAGGTTGAGTTGACACAAGGCTAAGTCACATGAATCGAAGCAAAGGTAGTCACAACAGACCCAATGCTGACCTGTTTCCTGTCTTTAATTTACTACTTCCTCCTGTGGGGCCATACACTTGCATGGTGTTTACACAAGTCTTATGTAGAATTAGTTTTGGATCTTCTCTTGCTCTTGAACAGGCAGCTGTTCGGAAGCTACGTTTCCAAACTCAGACTTAATACCGTTCTGAAAAAGCAGTGAATGCGTTGTTTTGATGCAATTTATCTGTATTTCTTGCTAGGACGTTTCCTTCTGTCTGCCTTTTATAAAAATGACCAAAATATATCATAGGAAATAGAGTAAAATAAAATATAGGGATGCATGTCCCCTTTGGGCTTCCGTACACAATACCCCAACCACCTATTAGTTTACCTTTTGTTTTTCCCTTTTCATAGTTTGCCTATCTAGTTTGACCTCATTTGGACCTAATTTCAAGAGTTAATGACTGAATGATTGTATGGTATAACAACAATCATTTCCATCAATGAAACCAACATGCCTGACGTCACCTTCACATTACCTCCAGATAATCATTTGCTGTAATATTTTTTATTACAACACTAAAAGAAGAGTGTTTCTATTCAGTGGATTCAATCGTGATCTGCCTTATAAGAAGATAGGCTCTTTCTTGTATCTTTTGTATATATTCATACACAAATTGAACACTATATAAACACATGATAAACTCGTGTTTTTTTTTTTACATTTTGGTGTATATTTTTTACACAGGATGAATCTCACCCTCTGCAAATCATCTTAGTCCTCCGGGAGGTAGCATGCTGCAGTCTGCTCTAGATTAATACCAAGGCATGTCTTTGGAATTGATCATTTAACTTTTTTTTTCTTCGTCATGTTTTATCTCGGCCCAACAGAGTGGCTCCGTGTCGCTATAGAAGGCTTTGCCAGTGAATTGAAATCCTTCAGTGCAGGTGTGGAAAGCGGAGTGGTGAAGAGGCTCCTTCACTCCTGCACACCACAGATAACTTTAACATTTGACCACGTATTGTGCTCAGGCAGCTGGTCCTATAAAAGCGCTCGGCGATGCTTTCCCTCCAAACAGATTCCCATTTTTTTGTTCTCGCATTACTTTGAGTTTTTCAAAAAGGAGAGGAAACTCTTGAGAAGCAAATAAGATGGTGCGCAGGGGTTCAGCTGCTGCACAGACCAGATTAATGAGCATTTCTTATCTGCAATCTGCTTATTTAAGTTGGTGGACGCTTCAGACAAATTGAACCGCTCGCACCAAGTGGGTGTTGAAGTGAAT